CTATAACTATGTAACTAATTGATCAATCGATCTGTTTTTTTTAAAGAAGCGTCTTTCCAAGAACTTTTAAAACCTGCTTTAAAAAATTTGATTTGATTGAATATTCACAAAGTTCTAATTGTTTATAAGTACAAAAATTCGACCAATGTTTATACAAGCGCCAGAGCTCTCCTAATTGACGGATTCGAATTTTTCAAAAAAAGTATGAAAGCCTATATGTGATTAAATTTTCAAGTATCTAAGGGCCTTGATTTTTGATGTGCAAAATTTTGAAAATTTGCAATTTTTTTTTAATCTGGATTGCAAAATTATTATGCAAAATCTATCGAATCGATTTTGATGAAATTTGGTGTGATGATTCTACATAACATGAAGTTTTCTTGAGCCAAGTATAGAGGTCCTACACCCAATTTAAATACACCAAAAAAAATCCCTAAAAAGTATTGTTTTTTAACACCATTTTTGTCATTTTTTCGATTTTTACCATAATAATCATGATTCATTCGATTTGTAACCAGTCATGTATTGTAAAAAATTTAATTACAAACATTTTTTCTCTCCGAAAGTTTATGCAGTATATCAATGTATGGTGGAATTGTGTATCTTATATATGTGGTAGCCGCAGATCACTAGTAGCGACAAAATTACTATTGTTCCGGATATAATTATTGCTGAATAAATTTGCGGGTTAGTGCTACCATTATTTTGGTTCACTAAAATTTCTTCCTTTGTATTTTGATTCCCCATTTTGCTTGATTTAAAACTTCTCTTGCAAATGCACTACATCCTGGAATCTTCTAACTACTGGAATCTTCTAACAAAATCTTGGGCAGGATCGCCATGTGGTATTAACTTCTGGGGTTAAGGTATATTTTGATGTTTATTGATAGAGACTTCGAGTTAAGACTAATTTTATTTTCTATAACTACAATAATGTAAGTTTAGCTGAGTAAGAATAATGTATTGTTATTGCTCGGGCGACCGGATCTAGGATCTTTGACCCATCGCGTATTGCATTTACTGCAAAGTTGCAAATAGGGGTTAATGACAATACATATATGCCTACAGAAAAGTCCGCGATGGCATATGTCTATATGTTAAAGATAACATACTACCTATATCCATTTTAATACTTTAAAAAATTGGCAATTATAAAGCGGTAATGTAAAAGCTATTTACACAAATACGGTATTAATCCTTATCATTTTAAATAAGTTAGAGGCTTTAAGCATTTCATGCACATTATTTTACTCATTTACACCATATAATTTAAATGAATATCTGAGGAGTAATCGCAAAAAAATTATGCACGCGAGAATAAAATTCAAGCGCCTCGCTTCACTTGATGCGATCGCCGACCCTCCCCCCGCATCGTCTTGCCAACTGTTTAGCTAATAATAAGTCGAACGATAACGCGCGCGTGATCAACTGAGTTGGAGCGAATGGAGGTGACGACTGACGACTGTGTTTTCTTTCAGAGTGTTGTTGGAAAGTTACAATTGCGTTCGATATTTTAAGGTCACATTTTTGTTTTGTATTTGTTGTCTTTAGGTAGTCGGAATATGTACGTATGTATGTATAGATACTTGCAAACATACTTTTATTTCATTGAGATTTAATAATTTGTTTGTTTTTTTCTTATTGTGAATCATTTAAAACTTCATAGTCGCATTTTTGTTTCGTGTTTGTTTTCTTTAGGTAGTTAGATACCTAACTACTTATTAATTAAAATTGATAGTCCTGAACATAGGTACTTTAATTTAATTCATTTTGTTTTCACATTGTTGGTAGTTACCTATATTGTTTTAAATTTAAAGGTTTTGCATTTTTAGTTTTGAGTTCGTTTGTTGTCTTTAGGTATATAGATATATCGTGAATTATTTTAAAATTAATATTAGGGTCGCATTAGATGAAATATGATTGATTTTTTGTTTGTTACGATTTAACTCAAAAACTATTCAATCAATTTTACCGAAAGCTACATCTCCTCGGAGTAACATAGGCTATTTTATATTTGCCCGTGCGAAGCCGGGGCGGGTTGCTAGTACAGAATAAAGATGTACATATTTTAAAAAATGTGTATTCTTAATTCCTACATCCTGTATCTCGAAATCGAAGCCTTCTACTACTCACGTCCATATGAAACTTTTTTCTCAAAATAATGTCTTCTATAGATGATCCTGATAAAAACCGAGACAACTCTGTATATATTTTGGCGTCAAGTATTGTACCATACTCCTATAATTCCATTTCAATATCTTAAAAGCCTTAATCTACGACGGTGTCATTATGACACATTTAGCATCCTCATTTCGATGCCATTATGGCCTTCACAATAATACATAGTGCCATTATGACACAATGACACGCAAATTTTAAAAAATAAAGAAAAACAAAGTTAGTCACCACTTTTACTTGTTATTATTAACTATAAAAAATTTAATAACATTTATTTATTGTAAATTACAACTTCTGAACAATTTGTTAAATTAATTCCAGCAGATGATAAGTGGGCTGTATTTTTAGAAAGTAAGTTTATTTCCCGAGTGCTTGAACTCGTTGAAGGGCCATCAATGCCTGAAGCGTTACCTAAAATATTAAAGGCCACTTTGTTTTTATTTTCTTTGGTTTTTATACAGCTTTCTGCCACTGTGTTAGAGCGCCAACCACCATGCCTCTTAACTCCTGTGTCCAATTGAGGATTTGGAACACCCAGGAGTAATGTTATTACATGGCATTTTCCCAAAAGTATTAATGCTAACTGGCTGCTTGATGCATTCTCCATTTCTGGACCCCACAAAAAATCGAGTATGATCCGTGTTGCTTGGCCTCATCGCTATATATCTTCGAACCATTACCACCATATTTATTCCTTCAATGTTTTCATTTGTGATAAAAAATCTCGTGATATCTTTGTTTTCGTAAAAGGGAATAATAATATGAATGCATAGTCCTTCATCTTTAACATTTTGTAGGTGCAGATTTGTCAATTTAGTATGCCTGCAAGCACCTACAAGCTCCACCATCAATTTATCATAAAATGAGTTCTATATTCCAACAAAAATTGAGTTACGTTTTCTTTTGTTAAAATCTTAGATTTTTTTGACAGAAATCCTTCAGAATTTCTCTTTAGAAATGGACGTACTTACTAATATCCATATTTCTCTTCATTGATATAGCTATCGTAGCATAGAATAATATATCCAAAGCGACGAAGGCTTGCTATGTATATTGAAAGATATTGGAAATATGCCAGAAGAACCTTTTCATTGCTGCTATTCTTGATTCCTTTCCCTTTACACCAATCTTCAAGTTTTGCATAACTTTGCTCGTAGGTCTGTCTTGATTTTTCGTTAAGTAGGGTATTGACAACGCTTTGCGCAATATCTTTGATACCCGAAAGGATACTATTGGAATCAGAATCACCCATATTAATATTCTTTTTTACTAAAACTAAACGTATGACACAAAATTGGACGCCAATAATGAAGTTATCAAAGTCAACCTTAAAACAATCAATAACTGTGGTTACCATGACATCGTCAAATAAGAACACCTAATAATTCTGAATTTCAATTTGTAATCTGATTTTAAGATAAATTGAATCTGTAATAAAATCTATTTGGATCGTCGAAGATTAAATTTTGAATGATACACGTTCGATATGAACTTTGTTACACGCATTGAACGTTACACGCGTTTCATTATAGTATTCATATCGAACTAGTATCATTAATAACTATTAGGTCCGGTACTTTGAGTCTCGGTTAAGGTTTGATTAACTAATCAGGCGATTAGACTGTGATTATACTTTATAAATTAAATCAGTATATGTACAGTCTAATCATCTGATCAGTTAATCAACCTTTACCCGAGATTCAAAGTACCGGGCCTTAATGATACCGGATTTAAATAGATTCTTGCTTTAATGGAATGATTGATTAATTGATGAAAAGTGCCCTTGCTCGGTCTTTAGTTAAAGCAATATTATTAAGGATTTTTGTAATTTTTTAGATGAGCTTAAAAAATATTTTTTGGTTACTCTGTAATAAATCATATACCTAAATAAACTGTTGTTCAAATCACTCTCAGGAACTTAACTTAAGACTTGAAAAAACTGGACAAAAATATTAAAAAACTGTTTTAAAAAATATGAATATATATACAGGGTGTCCCGGAAATGGTGGGCAATCTCTCGGATATGGATAGATAATGAGAAAATAATGTCACAAGTTCATATAAAATTTTTTCCTCCGGGCTCACCCTGTAGAGTTATTAGCTCTTGAAGTTGAGAATTAAAAATGTTTTTTT